TGCCTGCCCGCCCCGCTGCGTGTGGGGCTGCCGCGCTCCTGCGAGCCCTATATATAGAGGCCGCCCTCGCCCTCTAGTGTCCAACCTCCCGCTGGGAACCTTTGACCGCGCCGGCTCCGCGCGGCCCCCCCGCCGCCTGTGCACGCGGGGTGTCCCCAGCTCCGCGCTCCCGAGCCCCGCGCGCCCCGCGCGCCGTACCTGCCATCCAGGCGCACCGCGGGATCCGGCTCCTCGCTTCCAAGCGGGAGGCAGGAAGGAGACGCCGAAGCCGCGGGACCCGCCGCAGCCTAAATTCACCCGAGGAAGATCTGCAGAGGAAACGTTTTAAATAACATAGTGATGTCTGAAGCAAATACATAAATAAAAGGGTGTCATTCTTTGTCCTGGATGTCCTAGTAAGTCAGAAACTTGTGACACAGTAACTTGCTTGCTCAGAAAGGCTTTGACACATTCCTGGCACTTAATAATAAATGACAAAGTCTTAAACAGGAAACAAAATTACAGCACACAAGAAACCCATTTTTTGTACCACATACTGCACACGTGAACCTCTGCTTCAGGAGCAAAAAGCAGTAGATTCAGACTCCAGGATCCCGTCAGGGGAACAGATTCTGCAGTTGCAGCAGGGAAAATACAAACTGAGCTGAGTACGGAATGGTGCCTTCACTTTGCAGTGTGAATCAATTATAAATTCTTTCTGCACATGGTCAATACTTTCTAAAAGTGTACATGTTGCTTTTAATGCATTGGCAGTTCCCAAAAGAGGCGTTTCTATGCTCAACTTGGAGCTGTAGCACAACCAACACACCAGCAGTAACTGAGCAAGCTCACGCCACAGACAAAAACCCTCAGGTCTGTGACAGAAACAAGTTTTGGGTGCCTTCGGGTCTACAGCAAAACCCCACCACTGCATCTGACTGCCTGGATTCTGCTTGCTCTTCTCAGGCAATCCCATTCATAGGAAAGGGGTGAATCTGGAGCTTGACATTTTCCCTACTGGGAGACACGGTCTTCTGGGACCTCAGCTGGCTGTTCGGTTTCGCTCCGAGGCCTTATCTGGCCCCGAAGCCAGCAGGAACAGGGGCAGGCCACGTGTGGTTAAAATAAAGGGTCACTGCTGTGCAAAAAGACCAACGTGTAACTGTTGGTCACTTCCTAGCTCTACCCATGCCTCTGTAGTCACAAAACACCCTCACTTCTTTTATAATCATTTTGAAATTAAGGCCTAGAAACACATTAAAAGGAATCCAAAGTAAATCAGAAAGTTTAGGATCAGATTCCATTCCTAATTACTGCAATTAACGAACAAGTCCCCACAATTTAAGGACTGGTTTGCTCAGTATTTTTAACACAGACCCCTTTTATGTAAGTTAAGAACTTTAAAATCATCTCTTTTTAACACAAAAACATAAATTCCTGCTCATTTTTTTTTAATATAGTATCAAATGAGACTCCCTGACTTACTCAACAAGTAAGATCATTCTTACCCTGTTCTTGTCTCACCTTCTACAGCAACAGAAACATTTAGAAGCTGATACACTCGGGCACTCTGGCAGCATAAAAGCACATTTCTACATGTGCTTTTATCAACAGTGTTCGACACCAAATATTTCAGATCTGAAAAGTTCTGCCCTGTTGCTTCAGTCTGGTGTGTGCGGGTGCCAGCTCGGCTGCCCGCGCGCGGAAGGGCGTCCGCTGCGCGTTCCGGATCCCTGAGACAGCCCCGCTGTCAACTCTTGAGGGTGCTATTCTTCCATCTCAGAGTAGATGTTGCTGCTCGTAGCTAGGGAGGATTAGGAAAGCTGCTCTGGAGCTCTAACAGGGCTGAAAGGCACTTACACCAAGGCGCTTGTATGGGTTTCTGTTAGTAGGGAAGGAAACTGAAAATTATTATCATGAAAGAGTGCAGATATATTTGCTTTGTAACTTTTTTTTTTTTCTGTGATGATTTTTTAACCGTTCCAGAGCTCTGAATCCTCACTCACTCCCCTGATGTCAGCTCTCGTCCTGTTCTCTGCCCTCGCTCCTGTGACTGCAAACGGGAGCTCTCTCGCACGTCCAGCTGCGGTACCCAGGCTGCTGAGCGCGCAGCGAGTTGCACAGGACTCTGCTTTTCGGTCCTCGTGCGTGGCAGGATGTTTAGAGCACAGCGCGGAGCAGCCTGGATGGGCACTGTGGAGGAGGAGGAACAGGGCAGAGGTCCCTGGAATGTCAGTGGGACGATGCCCTCAGCCAGGGGCAGCACGGAGCCCTGAGCACACCAGGGAAGCAGGCAGGGATGGGGCAGTAGTTTCATGTGTGAATAAAAAGCTGGCAACCTACCATCTTACTTCTTGTGCTGTAATAAAACACAAATTTCTCCCCTCTCCCATGCTTTCTGCCCCAGGGAGGGGAAACATGATCCTGCGTGTGTAAAAGCTGCCACATCATGACAATCTTCAGCAGAAAAGTCTTTATGTGCCAACCCCCTTGGAAGCCAGCGGATCAGTATGCAGCATGGTATGTCAAGCAAAGAGGACCTTCCCTTCAGCTGGGAAAGGCAGCTGATCACCACTGCTGATGGGCAAAGTTGGCCCAGTGACAGATGATCAGATTACTTATCGTTACAGCTATTCTCCTTTGGAGAAGCTACGCTCCAGTGTGAAAAACATTAAAACATGCTCTCTTCTCTTTTCTGACCATTCCTCTCCTTGTCTTCAGGGTCTCTTATGGCTGTGTCTTCAACCTGTGTTGTCCTGGTGCTCTACTCATTTCTGGCTGCTCTCCTGAGAGTCGAGTCACTTGCAAGCACCACGCCAGCTAACTGAGAGTGTGTTTTCACTCCCTTCTGCTCACCTCCTTCCAAAGTGGAGCTCATAACTCAACCCATTTCCAGCTTGTCACTTGTGGTCTTGTATGGTCAGGCTGTGAAACCTGGTTTACCTGCCCCCATATTTTGTACATGGCTAATGAGCCATTGCAAACAGAGTTCCTCTTGTACAGTTAGGATCATATTTCAGTGATTACACTCCTGGTGTCCAGAATATCCTGAATGCTTTTCAGATGCTGGACTAAATTCTGTTCCAAAGTTTTGCTCCCCATCTCTCATCCCACTGTTTCTTTCCACATTATTAAACTGTCGCCTTTGCCTCCCAACTTCCTGCAATGATGTTTAGAATTCTTCTATTAATATGTATCAATTATCTCCATGCTTAACATTCGGTCTATCGACAAAATCATCCACTACCCTCTAGTCTTTTACCTCAGGCTACACAGTAACTTGCCTTGTTTCCCATCTGAATTTATTTTTCAATCTTCTATCTTGCATTTTTTTTTTCTCATCATGAATAGTTCATAATCTTTAATTCATTCACGCTTACATCTTCCTGGGAGGTGGAGCAGTCTTGCTACTCTCTGTTTTACAGCTAAAGTGCTGGGAGACTGAGTGACTTGCCAAGGCCACACAGGAAATAAGTGGAAAAGGGAGGAATTTCAGCTTTCCCATGTCCTGAGCTAATATCACAACCAGTGAGCATCCAAAACTTCCACTGTTGCTTCCCTACATTTGAAACACTTTATTTTTCACACACTTCCTTGCAATTTCTACATTTTTGATGGAAAAGTTAAATTAACTTTTATCTTGAAATACATTTATTTCTAAAGTGAATTGCCAAGAAAATGTCATTCTTTTCCTTTTGATTTTGCCATTGTATGGTTTAAGGGAACATATAGGAAATACAGCTTATTTTTACAGATCCTACCACTACCTCACTGAACTGAGCATGAGGACTCACTGGTCTGTGCAGAAAATGGTTCAGACCTTTAGCTAGCAGAAAAGTTACACAGCAGTAACTGTAACACACACACTGCTGGCCATTTCCCAGCTCTGCTTTTAGAGGTACAGTATTCCCAAATACATTCTGACGATTGCAGCTGGCAATTATATTATTCATTATATAATAATAAAAAGGGGTTTAACCTGCTGGTGAGTCCAGAAATCACAAGACAGCTCCCTACCTGTGCTCACACACCGGTCTATGGGGACCTCAGGCTCACAACTGACCCTGAATTGCACCTAAAACTAAATACCAACATAACACAGGCAAGCCATAAAGCCAGCTGGACCCTCCATCTGAGTTAGCATCGTTATTTAAGGATATCCTGCTAGTTAGAGCCATATCATCCCCTCACTCAAAGTGTTCTGTGATTATCAGCTCCTCTTAAGAATATTCAGTTGCAATTTGAACTAAGCTGCTAGGAAGCAGCCAAGGCTGAACACATGTCCTGGTGACTGTCCTAGGGCACATCTTCACGAACACTGCACTGTGACACTGCAACACAGGGAAAAATAATGATTTTTTATTATATTTATTTATTTAGCGCTAGGATTTCAAGAATATTCATGCAGTCATCCCGTAGCAGTATTCATATATATATGCTTTTAATGCAACAAATATTTTACCACAACTTTAGCAACATGCAAGGAGACCATTAAAAAGTCCGTTTCCAATCTTCTGGTTTTCAGAAGGTACATTTACCAAGACAAGTTAATACACTTTGGGAAAGCCACCTAAGTGATGAAAAAACTTACCACGGACTTAGAAATAACTTTTGATCACCCTCAAAGGATTTCGTAAAAGATGATGATACAGTATGGGTTAGGCTTTATCATCCTTTCCAAGCAGTTCTTGTTTGTGCTGTGGACATGATCTTGGAGTTATCTGAAAAAAAAAAAAAAACCATGAGGACATAAAATGTGTTAGGCACTTTCCAAAAGCATAGTAAGGAAACCCTTTGCTATAGAAAGAATTTACAAACAAGAGAACAAGATATGAGAAGTAAGAGTTAGGGCCAGGAAAGGAAGAGGAAGACTAGCTTACAAAAATAAGGTTATGCAATTTCTTCACTATGTATTTTAACTTGTGACACATCCTGTCACAACACTTAGTCACAGGCATTGGTCTAGCACTCTCCTTGAAATCAACTTTTACTCTCCTGTAGAGGAGATTACCACAGGGATCTAAGCTAATCTGAAGAGCAAAAATGTGACAGAAAGTTACATTCTGTAGAAAGCCTCAGGCTGGTTTGCTGCAGAGAAGCACTTTTCCTACTCTGTTGGGAAATTCCAATGGATGAAAACTGAACACGGATCATCACAGAACTCCGGGATCTGATGGGCTTTCTGCATTACCATTTTTCTTGCATTCAGGTTATTGTGTGATTCACAGGTCACACAGTGAGATAGTCCCACTCTCCTGTAGGGTACGTTTTTTGATTCTCAGCCTGCAAACTTGATACTCAAACTATCATTGGAATAAAGTGCTTGGAGGCGAAAAGACAAAAAAATCCCCACTTTTTGTGCAACCCATCAATTATTAGAGTCATAAAGAATGCTACATTTCAGTGGCAGAAATGTTTGGGACCAAATTGGCATGTGTTTTAGAAGATGAGTTTTTATAAAGTACTGAATCTCTACAATTAGAGAGCAGTTTTATTGCTCAGTGTGAATTTTGCCTTGTACCTGGAAGTCTGACCCTGCTGTTGAGCTAAATTCAGCTTTCTCTAATTATCTCATTGCCAGCCAGGGGATTACAGGCATGAGTAATCTAAGCAGGAGTCGGCCTACTAAATGGAATGAAAAATGTTAAAGGCACCGAGAGGGACGGGAAGCCTGGGAAAGTGCTGAAGAGTTAGCAGGGGACGTCACAAATGACTCCCAACCACTGATCAAAAACCAGCCAGTACACAAGAAGCAACGGAAACACAGAGGAAGGAAGCAAGTCAGAAACAATCTTGGCTGGAGAGCAACTGCAGTTTTCTTATCAGTTTCAAGCCAATCATAGTGATACTACCGGGATCAGAACTTCCCCTGACTCTGCTCGGAAGAGCTGCTGTGCAAAGACGAGACTTGGGCAGCGGCTCCGCTTCCAGGCTGGGATCCTACCTGCCACATGCTGAGCCCACCGCGGAGGGCTGGGACGGGCTGAGCACACGGCAGCTGCCGGGGCAGCGGCGACTCCGGCGGCAGCTCCGGCGGCCGGGACTGGACAGGGCCCTGCGCTCCCTGCAGCGGCTCCAAAGGTCGCTGGAAAACATCCAGCGAAAGGAGCCGGCACTCCCAGGCGCAGAGATAACACCCATTTTGCCTTCCAAGTCTTCACAGAGGGGTTACACACATAACCTTCAGCACTGCAAGCCTGTTAATAAAAATAGGGAGAAATTACTCACTGCATGAGTCCTGTAAGACCTTTGCGTTTAATTTTTGTTGTTGTTTAAACTGGAATTTTGTGCTTTAGGTTAAACAAGTCTTTACCTTAAGCCCAATGAGAGTTAAACACCAACTAGATGAGTCTGATTTCCCCTGGTTGGCTCACAGTCCCTCAAAAATTTAGAAGCTAAAGTAGGGAAGTAACAAATGTATTTTGAAGTTTTATGGTAAAACAGTACCACAAACTATGATGTTTGAAGCAAATAATTCATTTTAGTTTCTAAAGGCAGCTGCCCCCTGAGCTACTGAATGTCTCAAATAAATACTGCAGAATTCATATAAATAAAACCAAAGGACCTCTTTGGATGGAAGCCATAATCTTTTTCATTTGCTTTCTGGAAGCAAGGATTAAATGATTTTTAGCTTTACTAGTTTACTTGCAAGAAGTTTTCGTGCCGAAATACTCATAAAGCACCATTGAAACCAGGGTGCCCTTCGACTAGGAGGTGGCAAGGGTGCTGTGTGACTTGCTCGAGCAACTGATTCATGCACTTCACTGCGGGGCTAAGTGTAATCAAAGCCGAGCACTCAGCAAGAGCCCGGGGCTGGGAGGGCTCTAATGCCAAGCAAAGAGCCCCTGCAAACTACTCGTGTTTCTAAATGAAAAATGAACCAGCTCTGCAAACAGGTCGCTATACAGCAAAAATGTGTTTTATTTCTTTTTTAATGCAGAAATGTTTTTTTTTTTTTTCTGTTCCAGTGCTGTGATTAAAGATAGGAAATGGGCATAAGTTTCTGGAGCCTAAATTGTCCACTCTGAATAATTCTTCTAGGTCTAAATAATTAAACTAGATGTTAATCTTGCATAAATTGCGCATGATATTAATATCATCAAAAGTCCTACATTTCTTAACGAGCTCAACATTACATGGAGTTAATGGGAAATGTGAGCAGTACAAACATTTATGACATACTTGTGGTAAATAGGAGGACATAAAGTGAAATCTAATATAACAAAGTAAAATTTTATTTTAGAAAAATAAGACCTATATTTTGTCAAAAGCAATGTCTTTCATATTTTTAATAAAATGAGTTGCACCATGCTAAAAAAAAGGCAAAACATTTTAGTTGGGTGCTAGAGTACTGAATTTTGTTGTAATAAATATAAGATTTTAAAAGGAAGATGATGATTCGAAAATCTACATGATATAGAACCTATAACACAAAGAGTATGAATCTTTTTAAATAAAGAAAGGATCTATACTGCTTATCTGTAAGCCAGCAGCAAGAAGAGAAGGATAGAGAATGTAGCTCAGCACAGAACCCATTGCTCCCCAGTTAGAGAAACAATTCCTTGCAGGTACCATAGCCAACACAGTTGGTGGTTTAGGCTGGATAAGAAACTACAGTTGATAGCAGGTCATTCTTTCCCACCCTCTCTATTCCAAACTCCCACAAATATCCTGGCACCTTTCAGGCAGGCTTAGTGAATGGAAGTACTTATATAACTAAGCAGAGAGCTCATGGATCACTTATATTTAACTTGAGTCATCTAGAGATCATTTGGATCTGAGGTGGTGTCTAGACCTCTCACCACATGGGAATGATTTTTCTCCTTTATGAATAAGCAGAAATAAACACTGGTTACCCTGCACAGCGTGTCACTGATACCACACTGAGGCCCCTCTCTCTTCTTTTGTATGGAAGGGAAAAACCTTGTGGGACTCCTAACGACTGCTGTTGTCTCTTACACAAATCTGTGTAAACCCAGCTGCTAACTCCACTGGATATGCAAAAAAACAGGCTTGTATTTTACGGAAGACAATCAAACCTTGTGTATTGGTGTCTCTGTTACATTAAGATGATCATTTCAGGGTTTTGCAGGAACAAACATTGTCTTTAAGAAAAAAAATAATTGATTACACAGTTAGATTCCTCTTCAAAATCTGCACCGTTCATATTCTAGCTTGAAAGTAATGCAGAAAATAAATGCGTGCATTCAGGAACAATACACAGACTTTTACATTTCTGCCAAAACTACAATATGAATAGGAAGAGTCTGAGATATATATTAATATGCACACAATCCATTTTTTTCTTTTCTACATAAATGAAGCTTTTGTTATCATGATGATCCCCATGAGCATCTCTACAAATGTTTCCTTAATAACTTTGTATCCATTGGCTGATTTGAAACAATTCTGAGAAACAGAAATCCTGGAAGGATTTGAGGTCTTATGAGTTTTATGCAGGCAAGTAACAAGGATCCCATAAATGTATCAACAGTGGGAAATGCCACCCTATAGATTGTATATATTGGGCACTAATATCTGCCTGCAAAAAGGCTAAACATTTAAACTGTGTGACATATTTAAAGTGAAGCTCATGCCTTATCAAATTAAAGCTAAGTCTTCAGGAAACCAGACTTTGCTCTGGTGCCCCTTGGCCTACTTGTTTCAGTGTGCTCAGAGCTAGTTAGTCCAATTCACCTCGCAGAGCTGGAAAATGAATCCTTGGGTCTACACATTTTGGGCTAAAAGCAAGCAAACAAACAAGACCCCACACCTAGAGGTGCAGAAGCAGAACAGGAGGCATGTATCAAACTCTGTTGAAAAGCTTGCTAGAAGTCTGTTTAAAAGCACTCAGAAAGGATCTAAAATCTTGCATGAAAGAACTTCAGGTCTAGTATCTGAGAGCTGTCTGTGAGCTCCCATTAAAATTATGGGCACAGCGAGTGTCCCTTATCTAATAAAATCCTCAGACATATGCATTATTTGGCAATATCCACAGTATCCTCTACTAATGATACACACCAGAGCTTAATAAACTTCTCTGCGTTAGGAGAACGTCCAAAAGACTGAAATATTTTGTTACAAATCTAACTATATTAAATGCATTGGTATTTGTGCCCAGGGCTTTCCAGTTATAATGGCACCAACACACAACAACCAACGTCAACTTGTTAATGGAAAACTAGTCTTCCATAGCTGGAGTTTTCTGGAACTAGTTGCCTGGGTACATATGTGTATATGTGTACATATGTATATAAGTGTTGGGAGCACTTATACACCTGTGTGTACTCATCCTTTCTTCATGTCTTTGGTAAAAAAGATCAGTACATGTGCTGCAAATCTCAATTTTGTCTCACCTGCAGAGTCCCTTACTGTCAAAGGGCAGTCCCTTACTGTCAATTTGTATAAACAGAAAACAGGCAGAGTAAACAACTGTAGAGCCTATCCTCTCACCAGGGCTCTGTTTCTTTTTTTCTTTTCAAGCGCCTCTTCACTGAACTTCTATGGTATTTCAAAGGTAATATAAGGTTTCAGGGAATAATAAAGCCCTTGGTAAGAAAGAAGTTTGGGTCCTTATTTTCCCAACACCATCAGAGGGAAGGAGAAAAGGAGCTATGCTTCTCCAATTTCACAGTTATTTATTTATTTATTTCCCAAGAGTATTTATTTTAGCCTTCTGTCATAAAGAACCATTTTAAAAACAGGGTAAAATTCATCCCTAAAACTCTTTACTTTTTTGGGTATCATTTGAATAGGGCAAAATTCTCCATTTGCCTATTCCCCGTGACAAATAATGCCCCAGTAATTATGGGTGGGGATTTTTAGGCAGTGACTGATGATGCCTTGGAAAAAAGCCATGGCACTGTGCATTCAGCAGCTAAGCTATCTAAATCCCTGCAGACTTCATTTATGCTTTTGGGAATATAGGACAGGTGTGGCAGTTACTAAACCTGGATACTTGAGAATTCACCTCTTATTCCCAGGTGTGGGCCATTAATTCTCGCTCAGACTTGTTTGGTTCTAACAAGTCTGTTTTGAACCAGATTTTACATATACGCACACAATACATAGCATTTTCCTTTGAATGCATTTATCTATTGGTTTTTAACCATTTTTTGCTATTTTTGCAGCTTCATCTCGCCTTTTATACACAGAAGTAAAACACCATATTGATCAGTGGCTGTCTAAAAATCCTCAGCATAATCCTCAAAAACCAAACTTGCACGCTGTACTAAGCTTAACACAGCTACTGAAGAAGCTCAGCTAAATCCGCAGCCAGGCCCCAGTGAAATTCACAACAGAAGTTACACCGGCTCTTATTGGAGCACTAGGTGTCAAAGCACACCCAGGGAACACCTAAACACACGTTCATACCCTGTGACAAGAACTGTAAAATCCTTGTTAAAGCGTAGCACTCCCTTTTTGTTAGATGCTCTTCCAAATCTCTGAACACTTCAGGGGAATGTGACACACCTAGAGCTTTCTCCCAAACCTCCAGCGACACAGGCATTTTTTTTTTCAGTCACATACCTACAACAAGGCTCCTAATCCCATATTTAGACATCTGAATGTAAGGTCATAGACAGGAAGTCTCAGCTGCTTCATGGACTTTGAAAGGTCCTGTGGCTACTGAGCACTAAGGAACATCTACCCACCTTTATTTAGTCAACTGATGTGTCTAAGTATGTGCTGCTATCAGGGAATTTGCCAGGTGATTTGATAAATCACTGAGGTGAAGTCCAAATCCCTGCCAGCACAAGGACTAAGCAAAGGCTGGGAAATGGTTTCACTCCACAACAGACTTGACCTTCAACTAAATTTTCATGAATAGAGAGGCCTCTGAAGTTTGATTGTTGAAAAAAGAAAAAAGCCCAGCAGCCAAAACAATACATGAAAACATTAACCTAACAAAAATGGGCATAACTGGCTCCTTTACCTATGCATCTGCCTGATTCTAAAAGAAGACATAGGCACAAAGCAAATTTCTGTCTGCTTGTTGGTCCTTCTCTTTCTGAGAAACATCCTCTTTATTCTCCATGCATCACTGAGTTAATAACCCCTTCTATAGAGCAGTATCACTTACTCTAGACATCTCAGTAACTTTCATATTTTGATAGCTAGAAACAGGGAAAATAGGATTGGAAGATGCAGTAAAAAGAGAATTAGGAGCTGTAAATACTTTGTTGCAAGAATTATTAGCTGCACAGAGAGAAAGAACAAAGGCAATGGATTTTTTCCTGTAAATGAACTCCAGGCAGTGTTACAATAAAATGGATGTTTGCTATTAGAATAGAATGGTTCTTTTCTTTACTTAGTATTTTCTAGAACAAAAGCACTGCAACTTTCCAAGGCTTTAGTGAGTCAGTGCTAGAGTTAGAAGTACAGTCTTGAAATGGTGATTACCACTAAGTATTGCTCTCCTTGCTCTTCACCTATTCACAAAAGCTGCTACTGACTAACACTCTATTAATAGTCAAGTTCCTACCATTTAAGCCATTAGGTTTCTACCAAATCTGACTGAGAAACTACTTAGAAATTCTGTGCTTTTAAAGTGCAAGCTTTTTTCAAACAAATGAAAATAACAGAGGTACTGATAAGAGGTGTTCCTTTAAGATTTTTTTTTGAAACGCAGTTTTCTGACTGAACAAGATTGCTGATAAATGCAGCTCAGCAGCCCTTTCGCTTTCTGGTGCTCTTACAAACTTTAGCTATACAAACTTTAGGTTTCTAACAACATTATTTTGATCTTCATGTAGGTCAATCCTGAATGCAAAAGATATTTATTATGAAACCAAGGTGCAAGGGCTATACCAGGACAGTTGTACGATCATAAGATGGGGGAGAACCTCTATTACAGACTCTGTATTTCTAGGATGTCCCTTAAAGAATTGCCACCAACTTGGGGAACACAAAGAATGCGATCAGCTTCAAGAAAACCTACATTGAGCGAAATGGCAATGTGAGCTAACTTTTCTTTTTGTCATCTTTTTTCCATGTCTAAGCAGACAGCAACACCCTGCTTTCTCATTATTTGTTATGATGTAACTCTATCTCCATGATTAATATTAAAACGCATTGGATGGTGCTGGGGAGAAGGGAGATAACAGATCTACATCATTTCTGCTCTGGGTGACTTCTATGGGAAGACAGAAGATTTTCGTATCATTTCGTATATTTGACTTGAAATACATTAGTACACTGGCACTGTGTCTTTTGACCTAGGGAGGTCTATTTCCACATTTAAAATAATAAAAAGTACTCTAAGTACACACTGTTCTACAGATACATATAATTTCCTCTGCTCTAAATTACAAAAAAGCAAATGATTGAATTATCATTCAGAAAAATTCAAAGTGTATGGATGTTAGAGCAGAAGAAAATCTGCTCACATCATGTGTGAAAGGTAAACCTTCAATAGAAATGCACAAGTCTGAAGTAAAAAACCTAGTGAAGACTAAGCAGGAGGGAATATGAGGTAAAAAAGAACACTTAGAAAAAAAAGTACACTTTAAAAGATGTACACTTTAAAAGATGTTGATTGCAGTCCAATGTGTTTGCATGGTTTTTATTTTAGGACAAAGAATTAACTGCCCCAGAAGAACAAGCCAAACACTGCAGTCAGACACAAAATAAGGAGGACTGAAAAAGCAACAAAATAGTTTGCACACACTGGAAGGGGAAGGTCTCCCAAAACTTCTTAAACATATTTGTAAGGGTTAAGGTAGCCTGCTGAGCTCTGCAGGGCTATATCACTGCATCAATTTCATTTTGGGGGGAATTTCAGTTAACCAGCTGCAATAAAATTCAGTATAATGTGTAAAACTTTTGGTTAATTGCACTGCCCCCAAACCAATTCATCACTAATGTGAATCATAGGTAGCTGGCAATAAAGAGGAACAGTTACCCCTTTTCCCTTTACCTTCTGCCTTTGATTTTTGCAGACTGTTTCTTTTCCTAACAGGCTTCTTGTGATTCTCTGTAGGTTATTCGAGGATGCTGACTATCTGTGCAGTCTTTATTTCAAGGAATAGAACCTTTAAAGAATCAGGAGACTGGGTTACACAAGTGAAAATAAGATACCTTTAAAGGTAATAAACACCATTATGCCCAGTCTCCTGGGCAGGGGGTTGCTATGGGAACCCACCAAGCAGCAGAGTGAGAGGATTCCACCCTTGGGAATGGGCCGGCTCACGACGCGGGAGCCCATCGGAACCGCACGGCTCGTGTAGCTCGCGGATAAGCAGGTAAGGAGGTTATTTCCATAACAGCAGCTGTCTGTATGTTCTTTGCGATTATTTTTCAGGCTTCTTCCATCATATTTTATTTTTGCTGCAACACTGTGGGAAGGAATGAGTTTCCCTTACAAACTCTTAAGCCCAGCGTGCGATGGTTTTCATGTGATAGGCTGCAATGCCAACCAAGCGCTGGAGCTGCTTAAGTGCATGGAATTATGTATGGGCTTTAATGTTTAAGTATCAGACTCTGTGAGAATGAGGAGATCTACACTGCATTTTCCTCAGCTTTCTTTGATGAGGGTTAATAAATGGTCATAAAGTGCTCTACAATCCCAGGAAAGCACTCTAAGAGCACACACTTACTTAACTATTATAAATGCAGGATAATGTTTAATGCTTACCTGGAATTTTAGCTCTAGTTATAGATGGATGAGTCACCATCAGAGAAAATGTAACAGTTTCAGCTGACAAAATGCAAAAAAAAAAAAAAAAAAGAAAAGAGAGAGAGAAAGTTAAAACACATACTTGATGACTGACAAAGAAACAGCATTTTTATAGCAGGGAGCGGAGTAAAACTGTTCCCAAGGACTAACAGCCCAAGTTCTTTTGCAAATAAAACCCCCATTGGGCTTGGGCCTTACAGAAACAACGGCAGAAAGCCTGCACAACAGGAGACAGACGTGAAACTCGTGAACGAGCAGCACGGGCTGCTTTCCGCGCTCCGAGCCCGCTCCGACCTCCGTCACCTCGCGCCCGTCACGCTCCGGGAGCTATGGGCACGTTGAACGCAGGCAAAACCTGAGACCAGCTTAAGACAAACTCTATCTTTATGGAGCACGCGCTCCGGCATGACTTAGGAGACACGAACCAAGCCACAGGGGAAGGTTTAAGGGCTGAAAATCCTTCTCTAGAAGGAAGGGGCATCAAACAAACACGAAGGAGAGGTTTTTTGTGGAAGAAAATTCACCAAAAATCCATGAAATTTGGGGATCAGTGGGGCCGCCCCGGGCCAAGAGGAGCTGGGGACGCCCGGCCCGGCCCGGCCCGGCCCGGCCCGGCCCGGCCCGGCCCGGCCCGGCCCGGCCCGGCCCGGCCCTGGCGCTCGCTCCCGCCCCCCGCCGCGGGGCGCGCGGCCTCCCCGCGCAAAACGCCGCCTCTCCCTTTAAGAGTGTTGACGGGCGCCTGATTGGCCGCGGGCGCGGCCAATGCGGGCGGCGGTTGCGTCACCCCGCGGCGGGAGCCCGGGCGGCCATTGGCGGGCGCGCGGCGGGGGGCGGGCGCAGCGCGCCG